ACTGACAGAATTTCTGTGTGTCAAGCAACTGAGTTTGACAGTTGTAATGCCCAAGTGTGCAGCAGCAGGAAACAAAGATGGAACAATGGTCTTGAGCTACTTTAAAAATTGCAGTCATGTTGTAATCTGCATTCAAACAACATGTGCTGCTGATGAATCATATCTGTGTCAATTAGGCCACATCAATGCAAAAAACCCAGTTTTTAAACAAAAACATTGAGACATTAATTTTCAATAATCTAACTGGCTGGAATGTCTGTGTTATTAAAATTAATATTACTATTTTCCCTTACCAAAATAACAGAGTTAATAAAAGACCACCAGATGTCTACTCTGTCCATAGTGATTACCTAGCTAAAAACATCCCAATAATATTAGATAAATCAAACATATTAGCATATTAGCTGCAAATCAGAAAACAAATTTTCAGTTTGTCTAATTTTTCAAAATGAAAAAATGATACTATCTCTTTATCAAACATTGCATATGTCTATGTAATATATACTGAACTACTGAAAAAATATCCTTTCCAATTAAGATCTTCTATTTTTATGTTGAAGATCAAGTCACTTTATCAATAAAAAAAATAAATTTTATACCAGCTGCTAAAGGTAATTAAGTATCAGTCTTGGAAATAGATGTAGTATTTTAAATACAGCAATCTTACACTTTTATTTTTTTAGACTCTAATTATATTGGGAGTAGGGAATATTTTTTTTCCTGTTGGAACACGTGCTGCACAGTCATGTACATAATTGTTTTGGCTAAAACAAAAGTGTGAAAACTTTGTACTGGTCCTTAAATATCCTTGACTTCAGAGCTGATAAAATATTGTTGAGTTTCTGTTACAAAACAGACTGCTAATAATTTGACTAAGACAGCTGTCATGCATGAGAAAGAAAAGAAATTTATTTTATATCCACCCTAAGCTGTATGACAAGTCTTCTTGCAGATTTTCCCTTTTCTTTCCATTCCCTCCTCCCATCCACCCCCAACATGATTTTGCAGCTGTTTCTGCTTCTTACAGTTGTAATTGTGGTTGGTGCTTAGCTGGGAACACAATCTCAGTACAGCTGTTGAGTGCTAAGTGAACTGGAAATTTTTCAGTGGTTAAATAAAAAGAATTATACTATTTCAACCAGCAATAGTATGAGTTAGATTTTCAGTGGGTAAAATCTGAGTCTTGTCCATTGAAGGCTAATCAACAAAGTTCTATGTTCCTTTGATTGATGTTCCTCAAAAATGGCCATAATCTGTCTGGTCACATCCTCATTGTAATGAGGATCAATGATACTTTAAGAGTCTATTCTTTCACTGGAATTATAAATTTGATCTGTCTCAGTGTTTTACAGATGTTTAGGAATTTTGCACATAAGGAATAAGACTATTATAAGGCATGATCTTATAAAACGTAAAATGTACATCATTGGCTTTACTGTAGTGTTGGACTGATCCTTTGTTGCTAATATAGCCATAGTTTTCACCTTTATAGAATAGTCAATCTTATCTACTTCTTTCATTTAAGCTGCTGTGCAATTATCTTCATGAAACAATTGCTTCATTTGAATTGTGTATGCTTAAATTATGTAAAATTTAATGATAGTATCAACAAACTTAAATAAATGAATTGTCCAATAGTTAAGCATTCCAGAGATTATGAGAGATACTGTAAATTTGGAGTACTCAGCATGAGAAATGTTGAAATAAAACCAATTCTTGAAGCAATTACTTTTTCTAATAATAATATTAAGGTAAAGGTAAAGGTTTCCCTCGCACATATGTGCTAGTTGTTTCTGACTCTAGGGAGCGGTGCTCATCTCCGTTTCAAAGCTGAAGAGCCAATGCTGTCCGAAGATGTCTCCGTGGTTATGTGGCCGGCATGACTAAATGCCAAAGGCGCACGGAACACTGTTACCTTCCCACCAAAGGTGGCCCCTATTTTTCTACTTGCATTTTTTACGTGCTTTCAAACTGCTAGGTTGGCAGAAGCTGGGACAAGTAACGGCAGCTCACCCCATTAAGCGGTACTAGGGATTTGAACCGCTGAACTGCTGACCTTTCAATTGACAAGCTCAGCATCTTAGCCACTGAGCCACTGTGTCCCTTCCCAATAATAATAATAATACAATGGTTAAAATCCTCAAAATAATGCCATTACATTGAATGGATTAGAAATGTGTATAGCTAAAGTGATCTTCAAATGTTTTACTTTTAGAAGGACATGTTGTGAAATATAATAAACTTTGAGCATATATCTTCTGGATAGTGGTTTATATCTGCCGGAGATCCATAAAAAAAATTGATTTTTTAAAATTTAATTTCAAGCTCCTTATTTTTATTTTAAAAAGTCTGAAATTGGTGGTTGCCAGTATTGATCCACATTGTGATAAAAAGTTACTATGTACCGTTTTATTAAACAGCAAAAAGTTACTTCATTCACTTTATTAAAATAATGATATGCAGGCACATGTAGAGTTTAATTGGTAATTCAGACTTTGCATGTATATTAAGATAAATTGATAGTAATAAAATGCTAGAAAGAATTTATCTGGTAACCATGCACTCCTGGCTGATTACTTACTTTCATTTTAAGTGGAACATTAATCTTTTGCTCCTGTGTCATCTTCAGTACTTGCCATCTCCATAGACAGCAATTATTGAAATATTCTGAGTTGCCGTGAAAAGTTGCTATATATTTGTTGGTAATTATGTTATAGTGCCAAAATGAATATATCAGCAGAAATAGCATTATAAATCTAACTCATCCATTTAATCAGAAAAGTTTGGTATATTCTTTATGGCATTGTCCAACATAAATAATTTAATATGAGGAAATCACCAGAATTGGCTAGATCAATCACTTGGCAAGATTATTTGTTACATCAAAATTTTCTATGGGTATCAGGATCTGGCTAGTCCCTGGAATGAAGGCTGCTCAGGAATTCCATATACTTATCCATGAGATCCTTAAAAGAAAATGATGTGTATCTTTATACTATTAAAGCTCTGTTGGTATCCTTAAGTTGGTCCAAACAGTGCATTATAAAGTAACAATTTTTAAATTGAGGCATCTAAAATCCACTAATTTAAATAATGTATAAAATAATCTGGGACACATTCAGTTTCCATCTATGGAATTAAAATTTTCACAAGTTTATTTGCAAAATGAAGGCTGTTGCAACATCCCCACGGTCATTTGCTTGTGATTTCTGATGCTCCCTGATTTCTGATTATACAAGTGAAGTCAATGGGGAAGCTCACAGGCAAAATTTGCTCTCACTCCCATTACTTTTTTTCTTACATTTAATAAACAAAATTACTCCTGCTGTAACCAAAATGATTACAGAAAAACCTATTTTAGAAATTGCCATCTTAAAATCTAATATAAAAAAATAATTATCCAAATGGCTATTTAAACAAAATATTCCAACAACCTAATAGGTCAGTAACAAGAGTGCTAAGTGTATCTCCAATGCAACACAGTCCATAGCATGTGGGCCATCTCATAAAAGAAAAGAATTCTCTTCAGATCAATGTCTTTCTGATCTCCGACAAATTTGGAATCTAAGCATCTTTTCCATATTCTTGCATAGAAAAGGAAAAGAAAGTCTCTTAAGTATCTTGGAACTAGGACATGATAGGTGAAAAGCAGCATTTTTGAAACATATTGGTATTCAAATGCAGCAATCATAAAATTGTGTTACGTTATATCGTAATAATGCCTTTCAGTCACTAGTAATCTGGGTACCCCATTTTGTACAAACTGCAGTTCCAGAAAGTCTCAAAAGCAGCCCCAGGTTGAACTTGTTATGGCATAAATTGCTTCCTGATACCAGGAAGTGCCCTAGCCTAAGCTAGGCAAAGACTCCTAAACATTGCTTCAACCTGTTGTTCTAACAGGAATCATAAGTCTAAAGGATCCCCATGTAATGGATTTGGTCCTCTATTGGAGAGGATGACAGTATTGAGAGGGCTAATTGGAACTGATATGGAGCTGAGGTATTTCTGGATTAACACTACATTTACCTTGTTGAGATTCAGTTTAAGTTTGTTTGTTTGTTCCATGCAGTTTCTCACAGCCCATATGAGGACATTTAAAGAATCTCTGGCCTGACTGGAATGGTAATAAATTACTGGATATTATCTGTATACAGGTGATTCCTCACCCTGAATTGGTGGGTAATCTCTCCCAATAGATTCATATGTTAAATATAGAAGCATAAGGGGAAAGTTTAGTCCATTCATATAGATTAATCTGTACTTTCATGCAGTTTTGAAATGTGTTCATTATTATATTTTTCACTCACTCCCCTTACTACAAAACCAACCATGGATTTGATTGCTGTTTCATCATGCTTATTGACTGGACTTGCTATTGACTGGAATTGCCTAATTAAGTTATAGTAGAACCACCATGAAATGGTGCCTGTTCGTTCCAGAAATTGCAGATGGTTCAGCAAGATACCAGGGTTGGTGGTACAATATTGAAAACCACCAGGAAGTCTAAAAGGGCCAGAAGGTTCTGAAGTGACGATCTATCAGAGTGACCAGTGTTGTTTCCATCCTTTATCTAGGGCTTTGTTTCATAAACTGCATTTCAGGAAATGTGAGTGTCCCTGACTAGTTCCAGACTAGCAGTTGTTGGAAAAGTCTGCTCTTTGCACTCATAATAAAGATTTAGCCTTCAGCTTGCATTGCTAGGACAAGGTTTTGTGTGTTTATTGGCTAATTCCAGATTGAATAAATTCCAAATTGAATAAAAGTGGGTACTTCTGAAACACCAGTTTACTGGAATCATGACAACAGGAAACACTTCTGGCAGTATTTTATGAATGCATTTTGGAGGTTCTCTGGAGATTAGGACTATTGCTCAGTGAAGAAATAATTTTTGGCAAGAAAAAGCCTGAATGACTGATAAAAAGGCATTCCTGGCATTTAGCAATGGATATCGAAGAGACAGAATACCACCATAATAAAGGTATTTGCAGCTGTGGACTTACCTCTCGTAAATTCCAAAATTAATCTGAATTTTCATGCAGCTTTGCAATGTGTTCTTTGTTAGATTTTTCACTCTCCCTCCTGTTCATAAAACCAAAATAACATCTGAAATATGTTTTAAAAACAATGGTACTTAAAAGTTATATATTTTCACAATTTTTTTCTCTGCATTGTTACATAGTAAATTCAAATTTATCTTGTTTCCCACTGTCCATAAAAGCGCCCCTGAAGCTAACAAACAATTCAAATATTTGTTTGTTTGTTCATTAAATTTATATGCTACCCATCTCACGGCTCGAGGCGACTCTGAGCAGTTTAAAACGTAATAAAACATACAGATATAAAGTTATTATAAATATAAAAATGAATTAAAATGACAAAAGATTAAAACAACCTAAAAAAACCCCAAACATATTTGGAGCAGAGAGGTGGTGGTTCCTTCTCTGTTACTGCAGCAGTTACTTCCAGCCTCCAGCTTCTTCAGGGCCCCATGCCACTGCCATAGCCAAGTTTTAAGGCTTTTCCTAAAAGGATTTTTAAATCAGTACAATTTTTACTGATTTATATAACTTTGCATTTTTAAAAGTCTTTATACCCTGATGAGGAAAATTTAGCAAAAATGTTATTCTGTTTTTTGTTTTGTTTTTTTGCCTTAGACTATTTACAGACAGATGGGTACTCATCAGTTTCCTCTTATATCTAAAACTACAGTAAAACTTACAAAATAAGTTTCTAGACTGAGAATTGATAAAGCATTAAAGAATATTAGCTTTTTTGGTTGGGTTTAGAAAACGAAGATATAGCTATGTACCTGTCAAGGGTAGCAAACTCTCTGTCAGCCATGTTAGCCATGAACACTACAGCTCCATATTATCAGAAACGTTTGTGCAATTTTGAATGACAACACTACATCGTCATAAAAATGCAGTTCTTTATCTATATAAATATAAAATGTTAAAACCATGCTGGCTCAGGAATTCTGGCACTTAAAGTCGACAAGTCATAAAGGGGCTGTGATTCCCCATCTCTGATGTAGAAGATTCATTAAGAAGTAGGAGTTTTAGTCTTTACTTTTCCTTTCTGTTTTGCTTTTTGCAAAACTGAAATTCTTTTGTAGAAGCTAACACCTAATGTTGAAACTGACAGTGAAAGTACATCTTTTCCACCCGTACTATTTCCTCAACAAAATTAATGTCTACCAATAGTTCTTTGGAATAAAAAAAAACCCCGTTGCATCCATCCATTGTGAATTACAATGGAAAGCAGAACTTGAACTGAAAAGGATATGGGAAGAAAAAAAATTAACCATAACTGAAGTAGATCTGCAGCCTAAACCTCCTTCCTGCAGTGCCAATGCTCCATTCAAATTATCTACAGTAGCTTCTGTCTATATTCAATCATTAACTCCACCTCCCCCCATAAAGCAATAGTTGTAGATTAAAATCACTGTGTGATATAAATATAAACTGTGTGATAGTTGTTAATGTTTCTCTTTTTTTAGATAGTGATCTCTCGTTCTGAACGCACAACACCATACATGAATTTCCATTTAGATTCCCACCCTGTTTCTTCAGAAGTTATCATTGAGAATTCCCTAGGCAATGATGGGCATATTCTGGTGATCACTGGGAAGAAGGTAAAATATTATTCATAATTTTTTGTGCTTCCTGGTCAAGTGCATTTTTGGGCAATGTATGTACAAATAGATACATGTGTGTACATATACACATATAATCCTAATAGTGTTTACATTCAGCTACTTTAGATGTATTTTTTTTTCTTTACACATTTCCTTCTGTATCAAAGAAAAGTGAAAATACAGTATATTATTTTATTGATAGATGGAACCGAAAGAGTTTTTCATGAAAATAGGTGAGATCATGAAATGATTATACCCCAGGTTTAACATTTTATAATTCAGCACTAATCTGGAATATTAATATCAGATATCCATTTTTAAATGGAATGCATCGACCAACTAAACTTCTTTACATTTGATTGCAAAAGAGAAAATCACCTATTTCCCCTCAGGACTGAATCATTTAATATAATCTGTGATTCCAATTATTTTTCCTTTGCATCCTTTCCAGACATGTGTATATTGTATTTCCTCACTGTTTTTCCTAAGGAGGCAAGTAAATGAATAACTGAGTATTGTTTGAATAGGGAAGCTGTGATACAAACCAACCAAAGAAAGGAAATGCAAATATAAGGTTAGATACCTTTTTTTTTTTTACTTTGGTGGAAAGTATGTAGGACAAAAATACACAATAACTTAAAAGAATGAAACTTTAAAACTTCCTGCCCTTTGTTAATTTTATATGAGGATTAAATAGCATTTGAAACTTATTATTATCCATTTCTTTTATACTTTTGCAAACATCATAGATACCAATTAATTGCCACCTTCTATAAAGCAATACAAAAAAGTCATGGGAAAGAAGCAAAGGTAATCTGGTTCATTACTTCTGATAGTCTTCATTGATCACAAAAGTATTTTAATTTTTTATGAACTTTCATTTAACTTTTCCTATCCCTATAGGGATAGCTATAATACATTTTTATCAGGTTAGCAGTTTTCTTGCCTTAAATGAAAGTAGAATGATGTACATGCAAAGCAACAAAATAATGACAATCATCATTATAATAATCCCAATAAGAGGGGGGAGTAAAGAAGATAATAATAAATATAAATAATACTACTGCTGCCACACAACAACATGGACAAATACACATAAACATTAGGCAGCATTGCGAGAATTAGGTGTTCAGCAGAGGGAAACAAACTTTTCTTTGCAAGCATCTCATCCAGTGAATTCCACACATTGAGCACTGACTATGAGATTAGACTATGCATATAGCTAGATTTTGTTTGTTCTTGTTTAAATATCTGCTAATGTTGAATTTGGGCATGCATAAACATAGCTTTTAAGTTGAAATTTAAATTGATCAGGTTGTGATCTTAACTATACATACTTAATATTAAGCCCCATTAATGTCATCATGCTCAACTTCAGGCTGTAAATTATATAGAATCTATATTATAATCTATTTATACTGGTATATGGTAACAAAATATGGAGCACCTTTGCAAGTACAATGAGATAGATGATTTTTTTTTTTTGCATGCTTCATCAGGAACCCTTGTTGTTGTACAATTCCTGGTGACAGACAGGTTGCTTCCAGAGATTAGCAATAATTCCTCTTTAGCTGATATTTTACGTAACCAAAAAAGATAAAATACTGGAGAAATGCAAATGGATTAACAAAATTGAAAATCCTTGAACAAGATACGGCAAATTCATGATAAATAACAATAAGAATCCACAGTCTATTGGGTAGCTCTCGTTCATAGCACGAAGAAGACTGCACAGGATGTGAATTGCACACATAATGCTAAGGTATATGTTTGGTTTTTTTTGTTTTGTGTTGTTAGGTACTGAAAATTACTAGCACCTTAGCTTTGTATAAATCTTCTGCTAGTCTTCATAATTAGTTTCTATGTGTCTGTCATGTTTTACCCATTAGGTAACCAAGATTCCACTAAATGGACCGGGATGTTCTCACTTTAGCACGTGCAGTCAGTGCCTTCTAGCACCTTCTTTTATGAACTGTGGATGGTGTGGCAATCAGTGTGTGAGGCCACAGGAATGCCATATAGGAGGATGGACACAGAACATATGTTTACCTAAAATCTCTGAGGTAAAATTACCTTTATCTTTTATTTACTGGAACCGCATAACATGAGCCAGATCATAGTTAACATATACAAATTATTTGTAAGTTGCTATAGCAATAAGTATGTATGGTCCTCAACAATGTCTCTTTTCATGTTTTGAAAAACGAAGAATAATTAACTTATTCCCAGATGAGGGGAGATGAGGTCCACTGCTGTTAATTGACTAACCCTAACCCTAACCCTAACCCTATTTATATTTTGGCTCACTCTATTCCTTCCCCTCCCCAATTATTTGAAACCTACATAGACTGTCACTATGGGATATGGGATATCAGTGAAGCATAAAACTACAACACAAAGTAACCATAATATAGGGGAAGCATTTCTGTAAATCAAAGATTATGTTGTGTTCCTTATGTTAATTTGCACTTTTAGGATGGTCCAGATGTGTGAACATCTCACCGCAACTGTTTTCTTACTTGAAACTTTTTGTCAAAGTTTCTGTTTAGAACACGATGTGAAAGCAGTACAGATGTAAAGAAAAGACCTTTGTACTTCTACAGGAATTCCATGAAGCTGAGATAGGGGCATGATAAAGCATGAGGCTTTATTCTGATATTTGTAGCTAAGTTAAAACTGGGAGAGGTTCAGAGAAGAATATGTGAACTGGTACTGTCTTTTACACCTGATTTCACCTAATCAGAAATCATATCATATGTCATATATCATGTCATATCATATATATCATTACTTACAGGACTTATATAGCTACCTATGTCATATATTATAATTGTAGGTGTCTCAAAACAATCCCTAAAAAGAGCTAAAACAGTATGATACTGTTTTTAAAAAAATCTTGGAACTGATTGAAATAAAAAAAATATTTTTGCCTCTTCAGAACTTTTTCCTTCATGAGAAAAAATGTAATGTCAATTCTAGAGAGTTAATGCTTTTTCTTTAAGCAATCCATCTTATCTTTTGCACTCACTATAGTCTTCATATAAACCACTCTGAAAGGGGAGAAACAATAGCTATTTTCAGCTTTAGAAGTTTGTAAATAAAAGAGCAAATAAGAGTAATATTATACAAAGGGGTATAAAGAACATAATAGCTCATTGCTATTTTCATTTAGCTATGGTCACTGCAAGATCTTCAGAGTCTGTCTCTGTGTTTAACAAAATAATTTTCTATTAAATATTAATTTTCTAATAATTATGAAAATCTAGTTTTACAGAATGGTTGTGGAATTTGTAGATCCTAATGCATATCATTATTACCATCTATATTACACTGTATTTTTTTTCAGTGGCAGTCACTTTGTGACTCTGAATAAACTCTGAAATGCTTTATTTTTAAATAAATGTTTTAATGGCATTCAAAACATATCTGATTGGGAAAATAAAAAATATGCTCTTATTGAAACTTAAACATGTATTCTAAGCAATGTTGAAATAAAAGAGAAAACCATACAGAAATGGAATATTAGCAGAATAATGGGAAATATGTTTTCCATAATGGCTTGTGACTTCAGGAAAGATTAGTGAACATCCTTTCACTGTTCTGCACTTTACTAATATATACAGACACACCATAGGAAAGGAAATTCATCTCGTTTAAAAAAGGAGCCTTTATATTCGTTTTAAGCAAGCCTATACAAACTAAATGAGGGCAGATGGCAGACCCTAAATAACTTTTAAATTATGAAGTCTGATTCATAGTTACATTAGGCTCTTATGTAGTTCACGTAGTGTGCAAGGGTGCTTGAATGAATGTAAATCATATTTAAAGCTACATTAAGTCCCTTTATTCCTGTGAGGGCAAGGACTAGGTCCCTTAGTGTGGCTGAGATGTCACACGCTGAAGAGTCTTCAGAGTTAGCATGAAATTGTTCCAAGCCACCCTGTTGGGCACTTTGTGACATGGTGAGAGCATATTATCTCTGTATTACCAACCTACATGAAGTAATTTCAAAGGTCTGGGTTGGGTTATTGCTTTATCTCATTTTTTAAAAAAGAAAGTACTAATTTGTTAAATGGGGCACAGTGCTTATGCTTTTTGAGGAGTAATTTTGTATGAAGTTAATAAATGACAAAAAAAATCTTAAAATGTACTCGATTGATTTCAAGCCAGAGTTCATGTGCTGGATATATTTTAGAAAATGCAATAAATATTCTATGACAATGATAAATAGTAATATATCCCCAGAGCATGTGCCATAGTAAGTGGAAGATTTGGAGGTTTTGTTTCTAAAAGGAAAGTAATGATGCATTTAGGTTCCTAAATCTTAACGGCTGATAGCTACTCAAGCAGATTTTATGCTTTGCTGAACCATGACAGTTATTCATACTACTAAAAAAAAGATTATCCATATTTGGCCTATAGCTTTAATATAGCACAGGACTGTTTTGGCTGTTAGAAATGCAAAAGAACCTCTGGTATTTGCAATAATCCTTAACATATAAAATTATTTTTTGGAAAGAAGAATATAATTAAAATATGTTAAATGATAATTTTGATGTTAAAGTGAACATAGGGTAGTTGTTATAAAGGTCTGAGTCAGTATCAATATTACATTTGCCAATAATGTGGTGAGAAAACTTTTAGTTGAATTTCAGATCACAGAATCACCCAGGCAATAACAGCTACAGATCTAGATCTATTCCATTTTAGCCTTCACACAAGGGATTAAGTATCTATGACAAATGGTACAACTCCACGGGATTCTGCAAATTGTGGGCAAATTCATTTAAATCCACAGCAGTTAAAACTGCATAGCAACAATGTTGGGATTGGGGAGGTAGTACAAATGTCATGATGGCAATTGTACCAATACAACTGAAACTGTATGTGTGAAGTTGGATATATACGATCGATCAGATTTGAGATAGATAGGCAAAAAATTAGGAAGGAAGTAGTAGCTGAAGCCTTTCTTAGTTGTAGTATTCTAGTTAAAGGGTGCTTACTTGGTATCCTTACTCCCATCCTTTAAATTCTAAATAGAGATGACTAAAACCTGCTTGAACAGTAGAATTATTGAATTTAGCTTGCCTACCAGTGATTTCTCTCTTCTCAGTTCTTTGAAAATAAATAGAAAGGTGGTTTGGATTTTTTTCCCCAAAGCACAAAATAAGGAATTTAGCTTAAGTTGTGTCAGTTCTGAAACATCAACTATGCAAATTATTAAATCTTGGCAAATAGATATGCTTTTAATAAGAAATTTTATTTTAGAAAAATTATGAAATCAGATGTTGAGATATAAAAAGTATTTGGGGGGGGGAAAGGAATGAACACAAGGAAAAACATGGAAAGCAACAGTCACAGCAATCCAAATAAAATCAATATAGCCAGCATGCTTGAACTAGCAATTTATTTGAACATGTTTAGAGTTTATTGCAAGAGAAGCTAGTTTAAAAAATAACCACCCAAGGCTCAAACATTACATTTTGTCCTTCCTCCTCTTTCTTTTCTTTTTGTGGATATTTTTTTGAATGTATGTGGAGAACAAATAAAAACCAGCTCTTCTAGAGAAATTTACTGCTGTCCTCACTAGTAAAATACTATATTTCTGAAGTTACGGGCCTGACCCTCATATTGTAAACAAAGTTTGCTTATACACAACAATTATCTTTCAACAGCTGGTATCATTGACATATTTTCAGTGTTTGTAGGCTGCAAATATCTACTAAGATTAAACAAAAGTTTATCCAAAATCCCATCACAATATTTGATGAGCTTTCAAATGACCTTGTGTGACTACATGCCAGGTGTTTTTGTGTTATTTGCCAAGACACACACTCCAGTGGCCTACAGTAACAAAAGACAAGCCAGGCATAATCCAATATTTAATAGCCAAATTCAGGGAAGAAATAAAATATTCTGTCTCAGGCAGTGACTAAATAGTCAAGCAGATCCAAATTCAAGCATAAATCTCTTAGCAAAAAGGATTTCAAATACAGCATATGTGTTATGTCATCACCCAATATCTTCTTTAAAAAATTAAACAGCTGTAAATATTTCTCCCTCGATTCTCTCATACATATCTGCTCAACTGATTTTGTCATTGTGGGACTGTCAACTTCGAAAAGGACCCATGCTGCCACAGCCATCTTTTCATTTCTCAACTTTCCACACACTATGGAGGGAGGGAGAGATTTGGAATGTCAGGCCAAACAATAACAACTCATCATCCCGTGGGATCATCAACAGGTGTTGGGCAGAGACTTGAAGGAGTTACCTGGGTGACGCTAGAACACCTAATTTGACAATGTGACTTGTGACAAGGAGGGAGGGGAATATCCTTCAATTATATGAAAACCACGGGAAATAGTTAGAGTTGGTTTTGCTTTCATGCGTGCTGAAATGTGTGCTCAATAAAATAGTTCTTAAAGAGATCTGATAGTCTGAGTGGTGGCTTGGTTGGGTTTGTCAGTCGGAACCTTGACAGGGACATTTGAAAAGATGACAGGTTTCAATTGAAAGGGTAAAATATTTATAAAATGTTTCTGAAGTTTTTATATTTGCTTTATTATTTTTCCCTTATCCTAAATTATGCAGTAATTGTTTCCAAATGGTTTACCACCAAACACCAAAGCCTCAAAAAGACTACACGCAGGACTACAGGTTGTGATACCTAGATATCAACTGTGCATGGTTCCATTTGTAATATTGTTTGAAAAATTAACCAATTCTAAGGGAGAGATCTCCCTTTGGCAGCATTTACATAATTAAAACATGAGGAAATGTGCAAGTATGACTCTGGGACTTTCAAATGCACTTGGAATTGGGTTGGTTCTTCGTTGCCCTGAAGCGTATGGTTTAATTTGTGTTTACATGTTCAGAATAACTATTTTTCTTTGGCATTTAATTTTTTATATTTTTACAGAATTAAGCTAAGTACATTATATAGATACAGTTTTTTAAAAAGATGCCAATGTTACTGGATATCAAAGAGAACAGTAACCTGAACACTTTTTAAATAGAAATGTTTTTTTTTAGATCCAGCAGGAAAATAGGGAAATCATGATGAAAGACACAATTGTGCTACTTATTAGGAATAAAAATGCAACTTCTATAAAACACTATACAACGCTTTTATCACAAGTATAAAAAAGTTTTTTGTTCTCTGACCAAAAAACTTATCAAACTTAGATTGCATGTCTATGTAAGCCCTATAGCATTGTCAATGTTTTATTGATAGTGTCTTGCCAAATGCCCTCCACTGAAATTTATACAACTTCTCTGCTATTCATGCATTTTCCCACCATTGTTACATTTACAGCGCAATTTACAATATACAGAAGTTGGTTTGGGGGGGGGAGAGCATTTCCTTTTGAGATTGTCACTGCATTGCTAGGATGTAGTTTATTTTTAACTTGAAATTTAGAAGTAACCAACAGATAGTATTTTCAGTGACAGCATTGTAAAAGCCACATTATTTTTTTAGTTCCCAAGACAGTGTTTGATTTATACACCTTTGAAGCTGTCATTGCTATGAAGACATTGCAGCTTTCCTTCAGGTTGCTGAAATAAGTTGCTTCATCAGTTTGATATTCTTCTATTCAGTATCATACTTTTAATAAAATAAGTGCATTGTATTCTTTCACATACCACAAGAAAGACATAAAAAGCAAACCAAAGGGTATTAAAAAAAACTATTACAATGCAGAGCTTGTTCAGTGCCCCTAAACACAATAACTCAGAGCTTTGTAGCAGTGGCAGTATTATTTATTGCTAATATCTAAGGAAGCTCATACAGTGATAAATGAAAACGGAGGAACAATTAAGTTAAAGAGGGGGGTATCTTCAACAGAATAAATTATTTTCTGCCAGTATTGTTGCTTTTCTTAAAAAGCACCTTCAAAGCCCATTAGAAATAATAATTTATTATTCTTTTTCCCCTTTTAGATTATTCCAAAAAGTGCTGCTTTTGATGCTTCAACAAGACTGACACTGTGCGGGTGGGATTTTGGATTCAGTAAAAATAATAAGCTCAGCTTAAAAAAAATATCAGTCTTTGTCGGGGGACAGCGATGCATTGTGGATGGCAAGACTAGTGACAAAAACAAGTAAGATATGAGGGGTTTTTTTTTCTCTTTAGATATTGTGATGTGTGGCAAAAATAACTACGGTAACTTCAATGTCTTGCATGATATTATATACAATTATTTTGGTTTAATTGTATTTTAATGTATTGTTTCTTTCTCTTTCTCCGTTGTTTGATAGACTTCATTCAGAAAAATAGCATATGAATATTCGTATGATTTTGAGGACAGGGTGCCTTTGAGTCGCTGGTGATTCCTGGACTACCTGGACTAGTCCTTGGAGTTACTTGGCAAAGTTTTTTTCTGAAATGGTTTGCTGTTGCCTTCTTCCTAGGGTGGAGTGAGAGTGATTTGTCCAAAGTCATTCAGCTCTCTTCCTATCAGACTGGACTAGACCTCACAGTCTCACAGTTTCTAGTCTAGTGCTTTAACCACTACATTGAGCTGGCTCTCCATTTGTATGAATATGTCTATAGCAGAGATGTCAAACTCAAGGCCCGGGGGCCAGATCCGGCCTGCAGGGTGCTTAGATCTGGTCCGGGGGGCCACCCTGGAAATAGCAAAGGACCGACTTATGGTGCCTCTGCCAGCAAAAACGGACCTCCATTTTTGCTGGCAGAGGGTTGCAGGATGCCGTCGCAGCCAAAAATGGAGCTTGGGAGCCTGTTTTCACTGGCAGAGCGCTCAAGCCACTACAGCCCCCCTGACACAAGTGATGTCAAGCTGGCCATGCCTCCCCTGGCCCCCCCAAGGTGAAATACAACCCTGATGTGGCCCTCAGTGAAATTGATCTGTCCCCGTACCCATACACACACAAACACAGCCAGCCGAGAGTTAAGGAAACACTTTGGAACGCACCCAGGTCTTATCCCCCACTTGGCAGCGATAGACACACCGTCTGCCAAATGCCTTTATTTTCACAAACAGACAGATAAGGTACTTAACATGCAAAAAGTCCAAGCAGAAATAATATCTCTCTCCGCAGTTCCGAACGAGGCTTTAGTGACTATCCAAGGTTTACTTTTGTTCGTCACAAGGATCACTGACCACTACCCTCTATTATATAGTCTCTGGGGTGTGGTCCAGTGACTCAGTTCTAATCCCTAGCACGCCTCCTAAGCTGCTGCAAACGTTTATCACGCCTTCGGAGGCGTGCGTCCAGGAATGATGTTTCTTCATCACTCTGATCCGAGCCAGCTGTCTCCCTACTGATCTCCTCTCCCTCGGCCGGCACCTGAGACAATGCCAGAGGGGAGAGGCCTGGAGAGGGAGGCCTGGCTGACTCCTCTTCCTCATGCTCGGAGCTTTCTTCCTCCGATGGGACAGGCTCAGAGGGCGGGGCCACAACAGAAATTGAGTTTGACAGCCCTGGTCTATAGTAAAAATATTCCCGTTTCAGTGGCTATTGTATTATCCATGTTAATAGAAAAATACAGGTTATGGTTCTTGCTCATTCAATGATTATTACTACTGACCATGAAATGTCACTTTCCGAATGTTTTTTACTCTTTATATATGTATTTATTTTATTCAAGGCAAGCTTAAAATACAAAATTCAAACATTTGCAAATAGATTTAGTAGTTTAAAGAGACCCTGTTTTGCAAGAGGTGAGAGCTAATGTAGTAAGGTATTAATCAATATTCAACTAGAGGGCATAATATTTGTGTATGCTTGATGCACCTTTTTAATGTTTTGATTGTTTTGTGATTTTTGTCCTTTGTTTCTCTTTTGTGTTCTTTTAGATTTTTTTATTTTTTATTTTGTATTTTAATCTAATGTTATCGTTAAGGTAAAACACTGAATGAAATATTCAGTAGATTGCTTTTCTCCAACATGACATGAATTTAGTTAACACTATCATATGCAAATTTCATACAGGCCCAGTAACTATCTTGGAATATTAATGTGGATTGAAGCACCAAGCATATCTGTCTTTAAAAGTTGTGCAGATTGTTGAATGTGGCCATTTGCTTATTGAGAAGCAATCTTTTTTCTACAGCAATAATTGAGGGTAGGGATGATTTTAAGAAAGGATTTACTTTTCAAGGAGAAAGCTGTAACTAATCCCTTCTCTTTTTTATATAGTGTTCTTTGAATATATTCAGTGGAAGATATTTTTCTTAAAAACTCTTTAAGATGAGACTTTTTAAATAATTGTTGTACTGCTCTATCATTGTTTATTTTAAAAAAGATGATTACAAATAAATACATTTGTATTGATAGATTCTATCTATCAATCAATCATCGAGCTATAGCCTATCAATTATTCCTGAACCACCTGTAAGTTCAAGGGTATTTTTATTTTACTGATTTGTCATATTCTTAGTGTTTGAAACACTAGACATTGGCTGGTCTATTTATGTTGCAATTTACTTATGAGGTTCTGATTTTTTGTTTTGTTTAATTATGATTAATATATTTGTGAGGGGTCCTTGGTGCTGTCTGAGCTTGTTTGTTTTCTTGCAGACATTTCATTACCCAAATTAGATAATATCTTCAGTGCTAATAAGGAGTGGAGTTTGCTGTCATTTTATATTCTGTGTTAAGCTTGGAGTTAGGTTAACATCAGATCAACAATCAAGTAAACAATACCCCAATCAAGAAATTGTCAAAGAAGCCAACAGCAAACAGCCCAACCAAAGAATCTCTGAGACCACCCCCACCAACACTGACAGGCAAGCCACTAGAATATAAATTGACAGCAAACTGCACTCTTTACTAGCACTGATGATATTACCTAGTTTGGGTAATGAAATGTCTGCAAGAAAAGCAAGTTCAGAGAGCACCAAGTATCCCTCGTCAACCCTGAGTTACAAATACTCTTTATTAGTAATATATTTGTTTTTATTGAAGATTGGAGTGCAAGCTTGGGCCTGTAAAGAATACAAGTTTTAATGTTTCAAGCAGTGTTTCAAATGGACAAGCTAATACCTCTTTGAATACATTTTCTTATGTGGTAAGTAAAAGACTATTATTTTATAATTATATAATTTCATTTTAATAGTTATTTTACCTTTATTTCAATGTGTCATTGTTTGTATATGGTTTAAGTAACAAATGAAACTTTGTTCCATATGCAGGATCCGAGAATAAGGCAGATTTCTCCTAATTATGGTCCAAGATCTGGCGGAACATTGTTGACATTAACTGGGGAATATTTAAACAGCGGGAATTCGCAAGAAATTTCTATCTGCAAAAAGCAGTGCAACCTAACCAGGTATAATGGGCTGATTTTTATTTTTTTAAAATAAATTGTAAACCTGGAGCTCTAAACCAAATGGAAATATATTTTATCTTCAGAACAAAACATCTCTTTTGTAAATGAAACTCGCAAGGCAAGAATCAGTGATTCCAGCATGAAAAAACTGTTAAATCAGCCTAAATAGCTGCTGATTTGGAAAGGAGGAAGAGAAAACCTAGAATGTAAAATGTAGAGCATAAACCTACATATACAAATTTGGTTACTATACTGTGGAGGCATAGATATAGTACAGAAGCCATTGTGAGATCTAACTAGAACTGAAAATAGACTGCCCTTAATAGGATATATATGTGTTCTGGCTTTTTCTGACTTCTTCAGGGAATGCAAAATGCTCCAATTTATGGTACTCTGTAAAGTAACAAGAGATGTTTTTCATCTCCTTGGCAAAGCATTGGAAATGCCATATACATCTTGAGGTTAAATTGGGGTTGCACCCTGGTCAACCCCAGTTTACGGCCTCAGATGAGAGATCAAAACTCAGGATAGACCTGATGCCTGGTACTTAATATTTCTCATCACATCAGTCAATACCCAATAATCAAAACCTATTTCCAAAAGATTTGGTGGCAATTACTGTGCCTGTAATGATGGTATTAATTTTTATTGAAGAAGGGGTTAGAAACTAGGCTGTACCCAAACTCAACCAGATATCTCAAATGAACTTTTCCCTTGGGTAGATGATCTAGAAGGAGTACCATTTTCCTGCTGAAAAGTTCTTTAATCAAGGACAAACAATAAGACAAAATGCTTTTCCTTTTGGGAAAAGTGTATTTTTGAGCTTTGATGGCTAATAACACCATTTTTTCGGGGGGGGGGGGGTTTCAAGATAATCATATTTCACTGTTGGAATGGCCTGGGAATAGCCCAGACCTTAATCTAATTGAAAATCTATGGAGCTAACTAAAGAAACTTATTAATCAGAAGTGACCCAGCAATAAAACCCAGTTAATAGAAGCAATCATTTAATCTTGGTTTCACATTATAAGAGCTGCAGAACTAAAAGACTTAGTTCACTCCATAGGAAGACATTGTAAGGCCATAATTCATGCTAAAGGCTACATTAACTGACATGATAATTTTTGTATATCTCGTTTTTTCAATGGTGATAATTTTTGTATATCTCGTTTTTTCTACATGTTTCACTTTTCTTCTTTATACTGTAACTGCTATTCTAATAGCAAATCCTTCATAAATTATCTTTCCATTGATATATAATTTTATGGTACTACTCCAAAAAAAAAAAATGGTGTTATTAGCTAGTTTTAGAAAATACACTTTTCCCAAAAGGTTTCCACAATTTTGGCCACTACTGTATTTGCTTTAGAGATAGTGAATGAGTTGCTGGTTTTTCTGGGTCATCATCACCATCAGGAAAGAGAAACATCTCACCTCCTAACCCTCAGTCTCTGGGTTCATAATATAAAGGAATCGGTTGAATAGGTAAGCATTCAGGACCTTCACCACCACCACTTTTTCTGGGAGGAACAGCTTCTTCCTAAAAACAGAGTCCTCTTCATCTTCATCCACATTGCCAACTGATGTTACTTCTGCTGCCACTTTGGTGGGAAACTTAAAGCAATCTAGCTTCTTTATAGCTATCACTCTCTTTTTCCCTTGACTGCATATTTTATCCTGACTCTCCCACTGTCTCTTCAAACTTTCCCAGTCATGGCATTTTCCAGTGAAGCTTTTGTAAGAGGAAGGCGAATATGGCTAGCTATTCCTAAACTGAGGTGCAGTGCAGAAACCATAAAGTCAAGCCTTGATTTAAAATGAAAGGATCTATTATAATCTGTGTGGGGCTTAGCAACCAACAAAGCAGTGCTGTCATTCTAACACCTAATTGGAAAGATTAATTTTTCCCAAATAAGCAAGGAGAGGGAGGGGGGAAATGTCCTTTTAACATTCAAGGAGGCTGAATTGAAAAGCAGGAGGATGATGGGAGAGAGGATCTCTTTTTTTCTGGCTTCCCTCTAACCTACAACACACCCAGTGCTTTAAAAGTAAAGCACACTAAACAACTGTTTAAAATTGGGTTTTAACAAGGGTTTTTCCTGACACTGCCTGATCACTTCTCTGTGGAACTCCAGCAGCAGAAGCAGTCCTCTTCAGTTTCAGCATTTGCTTCTTTCTGTCCTGCAGCAAAGCGCGCGTGCGCACACACAAACACACACACACACACACACAAACACACAATCCGATGCCCACATGATATGCTGGACTACAAATTTCCACATCAAGCTATGGAAAGAGTCACCAATTTCTTTTGTAATCTGATTCTTCCATGGAATTAAATGAGAAGGAAAACAAAAACTACGTTTAGTGTATTACACATCTTGAATGATAAATTCAGCGATCACCAAACTTCTTTTCACCTTTCCTATTTTCTTCTGGATTTTATAACAAGTGGGCAGACTATTTATATTACTATGGTATTGAAGCTAAACTATTAGAGATTATTCATTTTGAGACTGTGAAGGCAATCTTAAAGTGTTAGCCATATCACATTTTTCTTTCTGTCTTCCTAAACAATAATCTTTCCCAAGGTAAAATTAACAAGACCAAATACAGACAAAAGTTTAAATGTGGATGACAGAAACCTACATACTGCAAAGATGTTAAGATTAAGATTTTTTTAAAGATTAAATAACCTTTGTTGCCATTTTTTACTGTGAGCACACTAGCACAGATTAAAAATTAAATTCTGTTGCTTGCTCTCAAAAGAAAGTATATATCTACCCATACACATACATAACACACAAATACACATGCTATATACATATGTTTCCTTGAAAATAAGACCCGGTCTTATTTTCTTTTGGGCCCCAAAATAAGCACCATGTCTTATTTTGGGAGGATGTCTTAGCCCAGGGATGTCAAACTCAAGGCCGTGGAGCCAGATCCGGCCCGTGGGGTGCTTAGATCTGGCCCACGGGGCCGCCCTGGAAACAGCAAAGGACCGGCTGACAGTGCCTCTGCCAGAGAAAACGGAGCTTCGGAGGGCTCCGTGCAGCCCTCTCGAGCTCTCTTTTCGCTGGCAGAGGGTTGCAGGAGACTGTCGCAGCCAAAAATGGAGGTTGGGATCCCGTTTTCACTGACGGAGCGCTCAGGCCATCACAGGCATCCCTGGCAAGAGTGACATTGAGCTGGCCATGCCCATCCCGGCCATACCCATCCCGGCCATACCCACCCCGGCCCCCCAAGGTCAAACATAACCATGATGCGGCCCTCAATGAAATCAAATTTGACACCCCTGTCTTAGCTGCTAATCTTAGGACCACTGCAGCCAGGCCTCCCATGTCCCAACACTTGTTGCGCCACTACCCGACTTCTTCTGCGGTCACTTGCAGCCAGACACCATGTGACTTGTCATGCCACTGCCACTGCTCGTGGCATGAGGCTGCATGGCACATCGTGCCATTGTGCATGCAAGCGGCAGAATCAGCATGATGAACCATATGGCATCCTGCGAGCGGTGGCACCGATGCGATGCAGTACGTGGTGTCCGGCTGCAGAAGAAGTTGGCTAATGACGTGAGAGATGTTGGGGCATGGGAGGCCTGTCTGTGGCAGTCCTAATGTAAGTGGGTGTGGGACATCTGAGGCAGCTCCACCCACCTATCCCCACCCTAGCTTGATTTTTGCTCATGAGCCTCAACCCACCTCGTACAAGTAAACAGTGGACGAGGCTTAACTAGGGCTTATTGTTGGAGTAGGGCTTATATTAGGCACAGGCTAGGGTTCCTTTTCCGGGTGGGTCAAATTCTCAGGGAAATACTGTATATAGGAGGCTGCGTGGCATGTTGTGCCATTGTGTACACAAGTGTCACCAGCCTTGCACAGCATGTGATATCCTGCTGCAAGCAGCGGCACCAGCACAATGAGTCATACAGCATCCTGCCACAAACAGTTACACCAGAGCAATGTGCCATATGGCGTCTGGCTGCAAGCAGCTACAGAACAAGTTGAGCAATTGACCCCCTCCTCTTTGTGGCACCCTCTCAAATACTGGAATATGAGCCATGGTGGTGCAGTGATTAGAATGCAGTACTGCAAGAAGTTTGAGTCTCACCGGCTCAAGGTTGATTAGCCTTCCATCCTTTTGAGGTCAGTGAAATGAGGACCCCGATTATTGGGGGCAATATGCTGACTGTAAATTGCATAGAGAGGACTGTAAACCACTATGAAGTGGTATATACATCTAAGTGCTATTGCTATTGCTGTACTACTATAATGTCTCCCCTAGTCCTTGTTTTCTCTAGGCTAGCCAAACCCAAATCCTGCAACCGTTCTTCATATGGTTTTGTCTCCAGGGCTTTAACCATCTTAGTTGCTCTTCTTTGTCCTTTTTCCAAAGTCTCAACATCTTTTTTGTAATGTGACAAAAACTGGATGCAGTATTCCAGGTGTGGCCTTACTAAGACTTTATGAAGCGGTACTAATACTTCACATGATTTTGATTCTGTGCCTCTGTTTATACAACCGAACATTGTATTCGCTTTTTTGGCTGCTGCTGCACACTGCTGGCTCATGTTTAAGTAATTGTCCCCTAGGACTCTAAGTCCCCTCTTACAGTTAGTGTTTTGAGCCAGGTTTGGCCTAACCTGGACCTACTGTTTCCTTGACTTTTTTTCTTGTTATTTATATGTTGAAAGAAACTTTTTTTTATTATCTTTCACTTTTGTTGAAAGTCTTTGTTCATTCCGAGCCTTTGCTTTCCTGACTTCATCTTTGCAGATTCAGACTATCTGCTGATACTCTGCCTTAGTTATGTGTCCCTCTTTCCATTTTTTGTACTTGTCCTTTTTGTCTTTCAGTTTATCAGAGAGATCTTTGTGCAACCAGTCTGGTTTCTTCTTAGATTTCTTGTTTTTCTTTTTCAGTGGTATTGTGCTGGTCAGGGTTTCAGAGTTTCCCACGTTTCTTGAGTTGTTTTCCCCTTTAGGATTTTCATCCATGGAATTTTTCTTAGGCTCTGAGTTTGTTAAAATTAGCTCTTTTAAAGTTTAAGACACTGGATTATGTTCTATTGCTTGTGCTTGCATCATACTGAATTCCATTATGATGTGGCCACTCTCACCCAAAGTTCTGGCAACTTCAACTCCCTTTATCACTGAAAAAAGTGACTTATGAGCAGTTTTATGATGATTGTAGCATCCCCATGGTCATGTAATCAAAATTCAGACACTTGGCAATTGACTCATATTTATGAGGGCTACAGTGTCCCAGAGTCACATAGTTTCCTTTTGCAACCTTCTGACAAGCAAAATCAATGGGGAAGCCAGATTTACTGAACAACAGTTTGACTAATTTAACAACTACAGTGATTTACTTAACAACTATGGCAAGAAAGGTCGTAAAATGGGGCAAACTAACTTAACAAATGTTTCACTTAGCAACAGAATTTTGGGCTCAATTGTAGTCGTAAATCGAGGACTACCTGTACATTCCAGTCTTGAGTTTCATCCCACCATGTTTCAGTAATGGCAACTATATTATATTTACCTTCATGCACTAGTACTTCAAATTCATCTTGTTTGTTCCTTAAACTTTGAGTGTTAGTGCATAGGCATTTAAGTCCTTTATGCGTCTTGGATATGTTTCTTATATCTTTTACTTTGTATCTGAGTTTTCCATCCTTTCCATGTTGGATTCATTTCTTTATCATGTTAATGTAGTAATAGAAAATGTTAGAATTTTAGTTGAAAGTAATTAGACAACTGAGATTTCTGAATTCAGTGTTTATTATTTTTTTAGTATTTGACACCATAGCCTTGAAGTTTTTTTTGTACTTTAGTTTCTAGTTTGTATGCTGATGCAGTGTAATTGGCAGTTTTATGAACTGCAGGTAATCTGCCTTAGATGTATCAGTTTTTGCATAATAAATCCATAGGAATGAAAACTAAAGTTTTTTACTTTAGTGTATATGCATATTATTTTTTTTTCAAATACTAAAAATAAATGGACAGAGTTGGTTGAGCCACAGTTAAGTTCTATTATATTTGAACTAGAAATTATGGTTTAATCATAGATCTTGAGGATTTACATAATGAGTAACATTTCATACTGATTCAGACTATTTTTGAAAATGTGAACCTGATTATAGTAAGAATTATTTTAATTCTTTAATTTTTTTTTCTTACAGTGTGACTGCTAATACCATAGAATGTTACAGTCCTTTTCAAAGAGAAACGTTGGAATGCCTTGTTGAAATGAAAATTGATTCGGCCAGTCGTTTAGCAGGTCATTTTACCTACAGGGAAGACCCTGCTGTTTCTAAAATTTATCCAGTAAAATCTTTCCTTAGGTGAGTGGAATTTTAACATTGATGTATGAATAATAATGGAAAAAATAATGATAGTAAAATACTGCAAAATAAACTGCAAAACCAATCTTTATTCTTTAGTCATGCTTAAAGAATCTGTTATTAATTACATACAGAAGGAAATGTCTTTTTCCAAAATTTGTATTGGCAAAATATTTCCACTCACTTTATGATATGTAGGCCCCTTTTAGGGACACCCACAGGGGTGAAAGGTAAAAAAAAAAAAATCAAGGTGGTAGCCACCCACTTTCCAAGGTGTGACGGTAGACTGCTTTTGGGTCATTTTGGCAACTTGGGCTGCCTCACTACCCAGTCTTTTTTCTAAGCATTAACAGGAACTTAATGGAAATTTCTCAGGTAAAATAATGTTAATAGAAAAATGTATTTTTTTACAAGAATGGAATAGGCTTGTATATTTTTTTATGATATGTAGGTTATTATATTTTAATAACCTACATATTATATGTAGGTTATTAATGTTATTATACATATTTTAATGGTGAAATGAGGATGTTTTAGTATTTTATTCTGCATTTTCTCTGAGTGATTGGCCCAAAGTCACCCAGCCAGCTTTCATATCTAAGGGAAACTTTGAACTCACAGTCTCTTGGTTCTAGGCCTTGACCACTACATCAAACTTGCTTATAGGAATGTCATAGAAACAATTGTTGGTGGGGTATCTTTCTGCTTCAGTTAAGCGCAAATGGAAAAAGGCTCAGAGAAAAAAGGAAGAATGTTGGGGATTCTCACAAGGACAAATTGCTTAGAGATTGTTCCAGTATCTTTTAGAAAAACAGTTGACATCTTGAACATTTAAACTCTCTCTAGATTGTCCCCCCACCCCCAAAATGCCAGTGTATGGGTAGCACTATAGTATTCTAGAAGCATCCTCTGAAATTGTTATTGCCTTATCACAGAATTGTCCAAAAAATAGTAAATTTAATGCATACTGATTTATAAAGCTTGTTCCTCACCCCATGAGAGTAGAATTCTTGATGTAAGAATTGTATTTGTTGCTGTAAATAGAATTCTATTTGCTCTGACTCCTTAAAATGAAACATTGTTTAATATTTCTTCTGTGCCACTCTGCTTATTACACTTTGGTCAACAAACTGCAGGATCTTTAAATTCTGTTGTTTATTTTGCCTTTTGATGGGAAAGATGGTTGAGGTCTGTTTCTAAGATCTTTCAAGTTACAAATCAGTTTGTTATTTTTACAACTGGTGATAAGCTGTTGGGGTTTGGGTCAACAATAAACCTAAGATCCATCAGGACTATGTTATACTACTTGTCTTTGTTTAATGTGCATATTTCCAAGGTTATAAAAATAATTACTACATATTGAGCCATTTAAATTTTTTTTGATAGGGGATTCAGAAAAAAAAAAAACTCCCCAAAAAGGGAAAGAAAGAAAGGTTCAGGTGTTGTAATGATCTTTTTGCAAAATTAGTTTCATCCTGTAACCGCATACTTATACATGCATACTTATTAAAATTAAAATACCAATCAGTTTTCTGGAGTAATATTTATAAGATTATTTCAATGTCTTTATTTCATCAGTGGTGGAAGTACAATTACAGCTCAAGGGATAAACCTGAATTCAGCATTCTCTCCAAAGATGTTGGTAACAGTCCCAAAGATAGGCAGAAACTTCAGTGTGGTAAGTTCACAATATACAACAGGTGCAGACGTGATTTTCTGCTCATGCACTAAATGTAATTTTGCAGCATTTGTTATTAAAATAAAATGGAATTTATTTATTTGTTTATTTATTTTTAAATTTGTATACTGCCCTTCTCCCTGAGGACTCAGGGCGGTGAACAGCCAAGTAAAAGCATAAACTACAAACATTAAAATACAATTAAAAAGATATATATAAATTTGGCCCCATGATTAAAAACAATAACAAACAATTTAAAACATTTTAAAAAGTGTTAGGCCAGCCCGGCTTGCTGGAAAAAGAAGGTTTTAAGGGCACGGCGGAAGGCACCAAGGTCTTGGATTCTCCTTATCTCTGGGGTTAAACTGATTCCAGAGGGTAGGTGCCCCCACAGAGAAGGCCCTCCCCCTGGGGGTCACCAGCCTACATTGTTTGGCTGATGGCACCCCGAGGAGGCCCTCTCTGTGGGAGCGCACACGTCGATGGGAGGCCGTCGGTAGCAGCAGGCGGTCTCGAAGATAACTAGGTACTATGCCATGGAGCGCTTTAAAGGTGACAACCAGCACCTTGAAGTACATTTGGAAGACCACTGGGAGCCAGTGCAGCTCACGCAGGAGAGGTGTTGTATGGGAGCACCATGCGGCTCCCGTGACTACTCGCGCAGCCGCATTCTGGACCAGTTGGAGTCTCCGGGTGCTCTTCAAGGGGAGCCCCATGTAGAGAGCGTTGCAGTAGTCCAGGCGAGAGGTGACGAGGGCATGAGTGACTGTGCACAGGGAATCCCGATCAAGAAAGGGCCGCAACTGGCAGATCAGGCGAACCTGACCAAAAGTCCCCCTGGCAACAGCTGTCAGATGTTCCTCCAAGGACAGCTGCATATCCAGGAGGACTCCCAGATTGCGAGCCCTCTCTGAGGGGGAGAAAGACTCGCCCCCAATAGTCAGTGATGGAGTCAACTGACTATATCGGGATGCCAGGAACCACAGCCACTCAGTCTTGGAAGGGTTGAGCTTGAGCCTGTGTCTCCCCATCCAGATCCGCACAGCCTCCAGGCACCAGGACATCACTTCAAGGGCATTGTTGGGGTGGCCTGGGATGGAGATGTACAGCTGGGTGTCATCAGCGTACTGATGGTACTTCACCCCAAAGCCACGGATGATCTCACCCAGCGGCTTCACATAAATGTTGAACAGAAGGGGCGAGAGGACCGACCCCTGAGGCACTCCACATATAAGAGGTCTCGAGGTCGACCTCTGCCCCCCTGCCAACACGAACTGCAACCGGTTGGAGAGAAAGGAGGAGAACCACCGTAACACGGTGCCCCCCATCCCCAACTCTTCCAACCGGTGCAGGATGATACCATGGTTGATGGTATCAAAAGCCGCTGAGAGGTCTAACAGGGCCAGAACAGAGTAGCAACCCCTGTCCCGAGCCCTCCAGAGATCATCTACCAACACGACCTATGCCGTTTCCGTGCTGTGCCCAGGCCTGAAACCCGACTGGAACGGATCTAGATAAGACCTTTCCTCCAGGTACCGCAGAAACTGTTGTGCGACCACACTCTCGACAACCTTCGCCACAAAGCGAAGGTTGGAGACAGGGCGATAGTTGGCTAATACTGCCGGTCCAGGGAAGGCTTCTTGAGGAGAGGCCTCACCACCGCCTCTTTCAAGGCCATGGGGAAGTAACCCTCACTCAACGAAGCGTTAATAATTCCCTGGAGCCAGTCTCATGTAACCTCCCGGGAAGCCAGTACTAACCAGGAGGGACACGGATCCAGTAAATATGTGGCCGCACTAAGTCTCCCCAGAATCCTGTTCACGTCATCAGGGGTCACAGAGTCAAACTCTTCCCAGATAACGTTCTCAAGACTATTCCTCGCCACCCTGCCCGAATCTACCCAGTCAGAGTCCAAATCCCCCCGGATCTGTACGATTTTGTCATATAGATATTGTCCGAAATCCTCGGCCCTGCCTTCCAGGGGGTCCTCCCGCGCTCCCGGGTGGAGCAGGGAGCGGGTCACCCTGAACAGGGCAGCCGGACGATTCTCTGATGACGCAATAAGAGCGGAAAAGTAATTAAACTTTGCCGCTTTTATCGCCACTAAGTAGGTCTTAATATGCGACCTTACCAGTGTTTGGTCAGATTCAGCAAGACTGGCCCGCCAACCGCTCTCTAGGCGTCTTTTCCGGTGAATGGTGAACACTTCTTTGTTTAACTGGATAAACATACAAGTAGGGATGATTTGATACAGGCAATAGAGGAAAGATAGGTGGTGACAGTGGGAGACCCTGCAGATTTCCCTAATTCAAGGATGGATAAACATACTGCATTGATTATGTTACCTAATTTGGTAATGAAACATATGCAAAGAAACAACCAAATTGTTGGTACTCACAGAATACCAAGAATCCCACAGGATTCAATCTTGAGCTACAAATATTTTTTTCTATTAGATAAACATATGTTTAAAAGGAAAGCTGAATTAAGGGAAAGTTGAACACAAGAGATCCACAATGGGCAAAATGTATGAAATTAAGTTTTGTTCCCTATTTCATAGTGTAAGAACTTTAGATTGGTGTTTCACAGAAATGAACTCCCAGAACTCCCCACCCAGCATGTCTACATCTCTTAAAGTTGCAGAAATAGAAGACTTGATTGCTTTAAATCAGATCCACGATAAATAAAAGGCAGTATTCTTGTATTGTGCAGAACATTATTTACTTGCACAAAGGCCTTAATACAATACTTTATTTAATAAAATACTTTTTGATTAATAAAAGTATATTCTTGAATAGATTTAACTACCCATCCCAGCTTGTATACAGATATATATTGTAGTTAACACCATGAATGCAGATCTACACTCTAAACTACAAGACTAGTTGGAACCAGTTGAGTTGGAAGACATAGGAGTAGCATCTTCTGATTAGAAACATGCAGGCCACTCAAATGTGCACATACCCTAAATATAAACTGCTAAATCATGTATGTTAAGCTATATATTAGCCAGCTAATGAATATGTAATTCAGTTAGACATACACTTACCCCTTTTTTTTTGTTTATGGCCCTTTTCTATTAGTGAGTCTTGAGTTGTAAAATTTTGTTATGCACTTATTAATATGTTGAACTTTTTGCAAGAAGCAGCTGTTTTTCCTTCAACACTATGTAATACATAAGTTGCTGAAAACACATTTTAATCTGAATTATGGGTATTAAATGGATACTGGGTTTTATAACTGTATTCTGTTTCTTGAAGCACAAGTAACATATCTGAAGTATTACTTAAGAGCAACAGTAAAAGATAGCAGTCATTCTCCTGTCCATGTTTATAAGCTTCCCAAAAGCCATTGTTGGCACAGTTTGAAAAAATGGACTGTTTGTATGATCCAGCAGGAATAGTTTTGTGCTTTTTGGTTCTGTTAATAAATACATCAAGCCAGTAAGTGAAGATGGAAGAAATCCAGGAATTGTATACATACTTAACTGGATATAAATGCCAATGAATATTCATAGAGCTGGGAGGTTTTTTTAGAAGTATGTACAGATGCATCTAAAGTTAGCAATGCTATAAAAATCAGCTGCTGTTGCAAACAGTCAAAAATTAAATGCTATGTTTTGCCATGTATAATTGTACAATATAAAACACTATAAGTACTGTTCATTGGTGTAGGCCTGCACAGTGTGTGAGGTGATGATTTGAAATACCTTTATGATAATTCTGTTGAATAACCATATGAAAGAAAGAGATGAAATGATTTGTATTGCTCAATTAGTCTATTTGTCTGCGGGGTTTGGGAGAAAACCATTTTCTCCTGTGGCCTTTGGAATATTCTCCCGCTGGAAGTGAGGTTGGACCTAACACTCCTGGCGTTCCTGAAGAGCATTAAAACCTGACTGTGCTGGTTGGTATGGGGCGCCAATAAGGATGTGCTATGCTGGGGTTGGCTGAAGATCCCCAGTCCCATGTCACCTGTTCTCTTGGTTTTTAGTTTTTTATCTAACCATTTTAATTGTTTTAACCATTTGTACTTTCTTTTAAGCTTCTGTAAGCCGCCCATAGTTGCTGCAACAGTGAGATGAGCAGAATCTAAATGTAATAAATAAATAAATACATAAATACATAAATAGATAGACAAAAATATACTTTGTCTTGGAGATTATAACAAGAAATAACCTGGCAAACTTATTTTCTACAAGTTTTTAAAAAGAATTAATATGCTTAAAATTAAGCATAATAAAAACATAGTAAATTCTTTGTTATATACGGTTGCATTTAATGCCTCTCTCCAGAATAACAATATTGCATATTTTCTTTTTCTGGAAAAATATGTGCATATGTGAGGGGGGAGGGAAAACCTAGCACAAACAGGAAAAAATGTGTTAAGATCAGCATGACTTGTAACCACACCATAGTGAAATCTGAGGGAGAAGATTTAAAATCTTCAAATAATTTGAAAAATATGTCAGTACAAAGATAATTTGGATTTATTTCAGTTTTGAAGTAATGCATTCATAAAAATATCTACAGACTGAATTTCTATAGACAAATTCATTGATCAGTCAAAGTATGTATGTTTGGTACATCAAAATATTTATCTGTGTTCAATTTAAATATGTTTAACAATAAACAAATGAACAAAACTGATTTAAAATATTTATATCTGAAAATGTTATGATAAATCTTGAGATAATGCTAATTTAGATGATTATTATAGCACAACTTTGCATAATAAATACCAATACAAACTGCCCTGAGAATAATCTCAGATGCAAGTCAACTGTGCTAACAGTATAGATAATCCCAGTTTTCTAAACACTGGGATAGAAAGTTCATAAAAGAATAACTCACAGATCATGCTAAATTAAAACAAATTTACTTTGTACAACATGTGAGCCTCTCAATGTTTTAAATGCAACCATAACACTATTTTAAAAATGGAGGCTGTTATATACAAATGGAGCTATATTTTTAGTCTTTTACCCTTACCTCTTGTTCGCCATTTCCTGAGTATACCAATTGAATATGTTAATATTGATCTGATCCATATATTCAAAAGTCCTTTTTTGTCTGTATATCTTTGGCTTTATTTACACATCCTAATCTGTCTTTACTACAAGCTCATACTTAACAAACTAATACTAAATTAAAGTTAGGTGAGAAAAGAGCACACATTGATGATAATTCCTAATAGCCTAAACTCTTACAAATTGGTGTGATATTCAAATTATTTTAATGCATCAAAGTTTGGAATTCTATTTCAAACATTTTATCTCAGGCATTGTAATGGCCTGGGCTCTATAACTTTTTATCTCTTTATCTGAGTTGCCCTCTTGATGGTACCCTTAAGTACACAAAACTTCTTCCAGTTTTATGTGTATGTCACAAAGTTAAGAAAAAATAAATTAGTTATTGGAGTTTAGATTTATAGGTTGTGTTTATATTCATTAATTCAGAGGTTGCATTATTGTTTCTGAAAGACATGAGTGGGCCTTACAAACAATGTGGGTTTTGTGAAAAGGTTTCTTCTTCCATATGTTCACAGGTGCAGGTGGTGGAAATAAAAATAATAATATTGAAATATTATTGAATTTTTTTTTCATTTAAAACAATTGTAAGCACTCAAAATAAATATTTCTATTTATTTTGTAAATACACATACTTAGTAATATATATATTTTGTAAAAAATACATACTTAGTAGTTATGTTTTATATTAGAAACATTTGTAAAAATTTAAAGTAACACTAAATTAAAATGCATCCTAAAAACTGATTTGTTTATCTATAAGAAAAAAAATGAAACAATGTACTATTTCCCGAAAGCATCACAATTTTCAATGTTAAAACTAATTTCAAAGTCAAAATGTTGTGTCAAATAACATAACAGTAAGGGCCCTAGAAATGTGATTTACTGTGACCTTTCCAATCAGTCACATTGCATCATCACTAAAGAACATTATTAGATTTCTTTTTTATCATTCTCTGAAAGCATGCTTTTCAGAGTCTAGGGGCAGATAAAGTAACAAGCTACAGATCCCATTCTAGTAGATGACCACAAACTAGATTACAAATACCACTGTTATTAATTTAAAAGACATTGGCTACTCTGCAGTAGATAAGATGTGCAATGAATTTGTATTAATGAAATGTATTTTAGTATTATAGATTTATTTTGAACTATACAACTGCTTCTTTGTGTAATTATCCATTTTGAATACCTTAAAGGATCAAAGCAAAATGTTTAAAATAGTACTTATGAACAACGGAAGAATTGCATGAGATCCTAACTCTAATTGCATATCATTCTTGCATGTATTAAGTTTTTATACTGTAATATATCTTGTTACATTTTCTTATATTCTTTTGTAATTAAAGATAACCTTTACTTTAGATAATCTGTTACCTAATTGTTAATTTAAAATATTTAGTATATTTATAAATGGTTTGCAATATTTCACCATTTGGATTAAAGGTCAGCTGAAGAAAGTTTAGTTTAATCCATTTCTTAGAGTAAGACACTTTTAGATAACCATTGGGTTAAATGTGTTAAATTAGTAAAAGACAAATAAACAACAAGCAAGGATTGGAAATTGGTGATTTTCTACATATGTCTAAACTACAACTTCTAACATACCTTACTATGTGTAATTGCGAGTTGTATACTAGCAACATTTGGAGAGCAACTATCATTATGCTGGAACTAAAACATTCTTCATAGAAGGCAGTCCAGAATTATGTTTAATTTCTTCAGAGTATGTTTCAGTGTTGAATATTTGATACTCTCTCTTCGTTAAGGTTTTCCTGCAAATTTGTTTTTCAAGACAGCATCTACATTTTTAAAATAAATAAAATCATTCTACATTTAAATATGGCTATTTCTGCTAGGCCTTTGTTTCTTAAGTGGAAATAGAACTTTCTCTGTACTTTGAGATGAGTAATGTCTTATAGCTGCATAAATAATTTTTTGTAGGTACAAATTATCTCCGATCTGTAAATGTAGACCTGTATTCAATTGAGGTAAATGGGGAAATCCATGCAAATAGAAAACCAGTATGCATTGAAGTTATATGTATGTATGTATGTATGTATGTATGCATATATGTAGATTTGGATTTTAATTAGTAAACAATGATTAATATATAATTCAAAATCTATCAGTGTAACATAGAATTTACATTTTCCTGCTTATGCTTCTATTGTCTACATAAGAAGCCATTCAATATAATTTTCAATGCTCAACTGCACAATTGCAGTGTGATTACAACAAAAAGATAAAACTCATAGTCTTTCATATAAAACGTTGTAGACATATTAGCAGATACATCTATTTAATTTGTTTTTCTTACAGGCATGTGACCATCGTTCAGATTCTGAAATAATCTGTTGTACAACTCCTTCACTGAAAGCCTATGAGCTGATGTTGCCTTTTGTTACAAAAGTGTTTTTCATTTTTGATGGTGTCACTTCATCTGGTTTTAATTTTGATTATGTGAATGACCCTGACTTTACCATTTCTGAAACACCATTGTTGGTTTCCAAGGGAAGTCAGAATGTAATAATTAAGGTAAGATTTTATATAACATACATGTTTTTACTTTGGTGATTATCCTGGGCATTATGGAGGCATTACATTATTAAAATAGTTTTTGGCCTATCTAGCTGAACAGATACCATGTTATGCAAAAAACTGCAATAATGATTTTAAACAGATTTGAAAATGACAGATTGCTGAATAGTTTTCAATCTCAGAAGGTAAAAGATAGCTGGGTATTAAGATAAATAAAAGATGAACTTTACTACTCATATATTAAGAAAACATATTTTCCCTTTCTCTTAGTACAAAATATGCAGTTTGTCATTTCAGTTGGTTATATAGCCTATTTTTAAAATAATTTAAAGTACCGTATTTTCCGGCGTATAAGACGACTTTTTAACACATGAAAATCTTCTCAAAAGTCGGGGGTCATCTTATACGCCGGGTGTCGTTCTTCTGTAACCAGGCAGACCAGCCCGAAAGGCTCAGACGAGCCTTAAATGGCTCTGACGAGCCAAGCTCTGACCATCCCAGCTGAGTTGCCTGCTAATCAGGCAACTCAGCTTCAATCAAAAAGTTTTTTCTTTTAAATGGCTCTGACTGACTGCTAATCAGTGGTGGGGTCCTCCCAGGTTTGCACTGTTCCCCCGAGCCGGTAACGGTAAGGATATGACGTCACCGAACCGGTTCTCCCCCTCCACCCCCCCACGTTATTCTTACCCTTTGTTTGGCCCCACTCCCAATCTATTGCTGCCTCCTGAGTCCCAGCTGATGGCTAGAGGGAAAAAAACTCTTTAAACTCTTGCTGCTGGGCTTCAAAGGTCCGCCCTACAGCTGATCAGTGTTAAAAGAAAACAAATGAGTAGCTATGCTAGGGAAAAAACGAAACTGAAAGTAAAGCAGGCTCTGCTGCAACGTGACAAAATGAGGCAGGGAGAGAGATTTCTTTTTCTTTTTGCTCACCAAAAAAGGTAGGTGCAAACAATGGGAAATTTAGGGCAAAAGAGGAGAGTTCAAGATTTTAAAACACAAAAGAAAAAAAGGTCTATTTAACTAGGGAATTGTAATAATTGAGATACTATTAATTGTATATTGTGTTGAAAGCAGAAATGGTTAAGTTGTGGTTTGGAGGAATATATGGGGGAAATTATTTGGTTTATTATTATTGGTAAATATCATTAATTGATTTGTAAGAAATTGGATTGCATGGAAATAATTGGAATATTCATGTTCATATTGATTAATATACAAAAAAGATAGTTATATAACTGATTTATATTAAAATGTTGAATTTATATTAAACAACTGTAATATTACATAATTAACCAATGTGAGGATGGATATAAAAATAAATGGCAATGGGAAGGGGCATAATATAGAATAGAAGGGAAAAATTGAATTTGATTAAGATTAGAGATGAGGATGAAGGGTAATATTGGTTTTTTTAAAAAATAGATGAGGAATAAATATGGCAAAAAGGAAATATAGAAATTGTAAATTTAAATGAAATGACTAAACACTGTTTAAATTTGTGAACCAGCCAAATACTCTGTTTAAAAAAAATACATTGTATGTTTGTATGTGTGTTTCTAATTATTGCTATTTATTCATATTTGTTCTCTTTTATTCTTTAAAGTTTAACAATTCATTCTTTATCTTAATATCTTTATATTTGTTTGGGGTTGGCTTTCTTCCCTTTCATCTTTTTTATTGTACAGCAATCTTTCTCCTCAAACCTACCACCTCTCTCTTTTCTTTCCTTCTTACTTTCTCTTCCCCCCCTCTTCTCCTCCTCCCTGCTTCCTCTTCCTTTCTCCTTCTCCTCCTCTCTTCCTCCCTCTCTTCCCCTCACCCCTATTCTAATTTCCCTTCCCTTCCTTCATCCCTCTCTATTGATGTATCCTTTTATGCATATGGACTACTCAGAGGGCTGAAAAAGTTATTTTTGACTGGTCCTCACACTTTTGACCAGTCCTCGAACTTACGACTGTCCTCACATTTTACGTTTTTGCCCTATCTCGTCACCATGGTGAAGAGAAGCAGTTGTGAAATGAGTGACATGGTTGTTAAGAATGCTACAATGGGCATAAATGATGACCCAGCCCGTCCAGCACCGCTGTGGCTCCCGCAGTCCAAGCGATGCCGATCGCTGCCACCCACCATCACCCCAATGGGAAGAACCGCCCGGCAGCGATTCCAAGGAGCCCGAAGCGAACATCCTGGAGCAGCACGGGCCGGCCCAGAGGCTTAAACCCCAGGAGCCCAGGTGCCGAACCCCGCACAGCAGAAAACACATGACAGCCAGTGCCCAGTTCCTTCTGCAGCCGTCCGGATTGGCGCCAAGCCAGGAAACTGCGCTGCACACTCCCACCCATCTGGTGCGGCGGGTGGAGATGAAGGAGCAGCCTCAGCGGCAGCAGCAACACCAGCAGCAATTACAACCGGAAAAGCCATGGGGAAAGGAGGACGAGGAAAATCTGGCAAGGCGGTGCGAGCGTTTCATGGCTCCTCCGGTGAGCGGATTGCGAGAGCTGCGCGACTGGGGCGGAGACATGCGAAGTCGCATGGAGCTTCTCATAATGGAGACGCAGAGCCAGGTGTGCAAGGCGCTGGCCCAGGTCAACCGCGGCGCCGCTTTCACCGTGGACCTCCTTGGAATCGCCTTGGAATGCTGGAACCAGCTGGTTGCTGCGTGGAGCTTCCCCCAGGCATCCAGGGGGATATTACCGACGCTCCGACTTCCCTAGACCGGTGGGGCTCGCCATCAGTGGGGGTCAGCTGGGGAAGTCGGAGCGTCGGTAATATCCCCCTAGATGCCGGGGGAAGCTCCGCTCAGCAATCAGCTGGTTCCAGCATTCAGCAGCATGCAGCCTTGACTAGATCAGCACAGCTTCCTGTCAATGTTGTCGGCGCTCCCGTAGCGTCATCAGTCAGCGCCAGCAACTCAGATTCATGAAGCTGTGCCAATCTCGACAAGGCTGCATGGGTGAAGGAAAAAAACCTGGTACAAAATAGCCCTCTTGCCACTACACATAGCGTAGCCCATTACCTTTCTCTACAGTACAGCAACAATACATACAGTACAGCAACAGTACATACAGTATAGTATACAAATATAAAAGTCAAGACTCCATCATGGCTCCACCAGCAAGAAGAAAAATATGAAGCCAGTTTTAAACTTAAAGTTGTAAACTTTGCCATGGAACATAATAACTGTGCTGCTGCAAGACAATATGGAGTAACAGAAAAGATGGTTCGGGACTGGAAAGCAAATGTAAAAGCAATAAGAGTATGCCAAGGGGTAAGTGTGCATTAAGAAGAGGCACCCCACATTGGCCAGAACTCGAAAAACATGTAGCAGACATGGTGAATGAGCATCGCCAAAACGGTTATGTAGTGACACGAAATAAAATACGTTTGTTTGCACTTCAGTGGGCCAAATCTAACCCAGATCACAGCAACAGTTTTAAGGCCACTGTATCCTGGTGTACTAGATTCTTGGAAAGGCATAATTTGGTTCTGAGGCAAAAGACAAAAATTGCACAAAAATTACCTGCAGATCTTGATGCCAAAGTAAATAGTTTCCATCGATATGTAATAAAACAGCGCAAGAAACATGGCTATGTGTTAAGTAGTATCGGAAATATGGATGAAACTCCAATGAATTTTGATATGATTGGAAATAAAACTGTCCATCCAAAAGGTGAAAAAACAATTTTAATTAAAACAACAGGACATGAGAAGTCCAGTTTTACAGTGGTACTAGCATGCACAGCTGATGGCTCCAAACTGAGACCAATGATTATTTTTAAAAGAAAAACAATGCCGAAACTAAAGTTCCCTGTTGGTTGTTTTGTACATGTGAATGGAAAAGGCTGGATGGATGAAGAAGGGGTAAAGCTATGGCTTGATAATGTATGGAGCAGGCGACCAGGTGGACTTATTCAAAAACGTAGTCTACTGGTGTGGGATATGTTCAGGGCTCATTTAACTCCCAGCACCAAGCAAAGGCTTGCAAGAATAAACACAGATGCGGCAGTTATTCCTGCAGGAGTGACATCGTTGGTAGAGCCACTGGATGTGTGCCTAAACAAGCCATTTAAAGATCGCATTCGAGAACAGTGGAATGAATGGATGGTTAGCGGTGAAAAGTCATTCACAAAAGGAGGAAACATGCGTGCTCCACAGTTGGATGTTTTGTGCAAGTTTGTTATAAAAGCCTGGAATGATATTGATGCAGAAAGAGTAATCAAGTCTTTCAAGAAGTGTGGCATATCAAATTCATTAGATGGTATGGAGGACGACTACTTGTGGCAAGATGAAGAGGAAGCCGAAGCTGAGACCACACCATCTGATACGGAATTAGATCCATATGATGACTGCCTTACAAATGTATCACAAGATGTCATTGATGTACTTATGATATCAGATGACGAACAGGAGGATTTTGAAGGCTTTTAAAGGGAAACTGTCACACCAGCAAAACCTATAAAAATAGCTTGCAGTTATGATGGACATTGCTGACTCGCCAGGGACTTGCCCAGCACTGGCTCTCTTTTGTTTGTTATCTTCCTCCTATCATCATCAGTTCCAGTTTGGTTGACAGCTTAGAAAACAAAACAGCATGGCAGCTCCCATGGGTTTATTGTCTTATCCTTCCTTTCAACTTTAGAGTGAATTAGGAAAAGTTTAATCCAATTGCACTGTTTTATGTTGACATGTTTGATGACAAACAGCCTTATGTTTATAAGTGACAGTTTTCCTGCTAAGTACCTGCATGTCATAAGCATTTGAATTAAAATTACCATATTGAAATCAAATCTGATGTTTTTTATTTTTATTTGGTGTGCGTTGGAAGAGGGGTAGTCTTATACAGCGAGTATAGCCCAAACCCTATATTTTAACAGGAAAAGTAGGGGGTCATCTTATACGCCCAGTCGTCTTATACGCCAGAAAATACGGTAATTGGGGGTTTTCTTAGTTGTTCTTTTTTTAGACCTAGCTATTTAAAGTTTAGGAAGTTTTAAATT